TTGGCCGTCACCGTGTAGCCTGGTGGCCATGGGCTGCCAGTCAGGGTGGACGGCATTGAAATCTCCGCCAACTACTGTGGGCCCAGACGGGACCCATGATAGGAGCGGCGAAAGGTCTGCTCCAGGAGCGCGATACATAGAGACAAACGTGACTCCTTCAACCTTTACGGCGGTAAGATCTGGTGATGCCTCGCAGATTGCTAGTTGTAGGCACTTGGTCCCTTTTTGCGTATAAATGAGGGATCGTGGCCTTGCGGGGTTGGCTGTGACATGGGGGGGCAAGTGCTTGTCGAACCCGGGATGCGACTTGGTGAGCCAGAAGCCGTCCTTGTGTTGAGTCCAGGGTTACTGGATGAGTAGGACATCGGTTCCTGAATCCCAGGCGGATTGCAGGATGATGTCTGTAGCGGGGTCTCCTCTGCCCAAATTAGCGCAGAGGAACAAGATCGTTGTTGCCGTTGTGTGTAGCTCGGTAAGGTTGTGGTCCTTTACGGGCATTGAGCAACGTTTGTAGTTTCGTTTTCAGCAGTCGCCTCAGCGGCTTTCTGCTTTGCTTCCAACTCTCGGATCGAAGCGTTTCTTTCTTTTTGACCTTGTTCCCGGATCACCGACAGCTGGTCTCTTGTGCGTTGCACAGCCTTTCCGCCGGCCCGCGTCGGCCTGGCCATGCAGCTAGGCTCGGTTGCGGCATGCGGCCCATGGCAATTGATGCACCTTGGGACGAGCTGTTTGCACTCAGTAGCCTTGTGCTCAATCGATCCACAGCGAGAGCAGCGCTCTGCTCGTGAACAGATCTTAGTTGGGTGGTGTCCCCAGCATCGGTTGCATTGCGCAATTTTGGCTTTACGCTGAAGTTCGTTTAAGCGACCGCTCTCTTCAAAAACTCTTTCTCCCAGCTTTGGCTTGCCGGTTGCAAAATGCAACACCCGGTCGGTTGACGGCCTAGCCATGCTTGTTGCAAAGGCACGAGCCGAGGTCGGTCTAACGCCTGTCTTTAAGGTCGCTTCCTCCATTACCATCTCCGATGTTACTGGCGTTGGTCCTTCTAAAGTGAAGAGTCTGTCTGGTACATTAGGCGCCAACACTGAGATCCAGTTGGAAGCAGCTTCCAGTTTCATTTCCGTGCTCTCCAGGAGTACGGCGCCTGAGAGGAGCGCGTTTCTTGCTCCGTATCCTTCAGCTAGTATCGCAAACCCTGAGTTGACGATGGTAACCTGCTTAATTGCAGAGTTGGCTAAGCGCAGCTAGCTTGCGAGGCTCATTTTGATGTAATGAGGAGACATGCATCTCCATGGGTGGTCGGGCTTGACCCGCAGGAAAACACGCTCGTCTGAGCGAGCTAACTTGAGAGCTGAGGCAGTAGGCCTCGGAGTTTGTGTGGGCCCTGTCGCTTTTGAGTTAGGCTCGCTGGCTGGTTGCGATTTTGTCGCTGCTGGCGGTGCGGCCTTAGTCTTTTTCCTCACTACCTGAGTCCAAGACCCCTCAGTAACGATGGGGGATTGTATAGAATCGATGTCGATTGGCCTAGTAGGCTTTGTCGAAGCCGGCTCTTTGCCTTTCGCCTGGCTACTTTCTCTCGTGAGTATTTGCACTGATCGTGAAGTGCTCGCGCTATTCTTTCCTCCCGGCCTAGTAGCCGACGTAGGGAGGGTTGTCGTCTTGCTGCTACTGGCAGCCTCTGATGGCCCACTGGATTGGGGCTCGGGGGTCTCCGCGCAGGATGTTTGTGATAATGGCCTGTAAAGCCTCTCTATTCTTTTCGACAGCTCGTCGGAGCTGTTTGTCAGTTGTGGCCGCCAGTAGAATAATGTACCCACTGAAAATACGCTCAGCCTCTGCAAAGCGTATGTTAAACGCCCTCGCTTCATCTGCGAGGAAGTTAGTCAAGGAAGCACCTATTGACTCGGGGGGGTTTGGGGGCGAGTATTGGAAGCTCGCCTCGCAGATCGGTTCTACGTTTGCTTGTGTGTTGTTGTAGTGGTGGTTAGGTGGTCCTGTGAGGACCATTTCGACGTCAGGACGCGTCGAATTTACGGGTGGGAGGGGGGCCAGGAGCCAGCCTCTGCAGAGGACTGGGGCGGCATAGGTGTTATGATAACGAGGTCATGAGGGGACAGAGGAATACCTGAAATGGATGCAAATGATTATGGATGCGCGGATATAATTGATATGGCTGTAGTGAGAAGAAGCGTTGGAATGGACAGTAGGGAGTTGGTTGATTTACAATCTATCTGCGGAAGTATTGCTTCCTTATATATACATTCAGTACCCCAGTCCTGATCACGCACTCACCACAGGTGCTTCCTACTTCTGTCACAGTAACCGCTTCCATAGCCCCTACCAATATCTCCTGTCACAACATACTATTGACACTGGTTGCTAGTGTGGAACTCCTGGGATTGCAGAGCTATACACTGTCGTCACATTGTATGCTGTTGCCCCTCGGTAGCCATCAGAGTGATGTGCGCCTCAGTCTAAACGCATTGGTCCACCAGGCAACGCTCGGATGTAGGGATGTTGCCAGAGTGATTAGGTACTTAGCTGTGCTGCCAGTGCCCTAATCTCATCTAGCTTACTGCGGCCGAGTGTCCGAGTGCCGCAATGGTGGGAGCCTGATGAGACTCAATTGGAGCTGACCCGAGGTATTCACAACAATAGGTGATTGAGAAATGAAAGTGACAGTAAGATGTCGTAAATGTGTGGAGAATATGTATCAGGATAGACGATGATGTGAAGTATGATTTATATGTATGGACGTGACTTGATGAGGGTGAGAAAAGTTTCTGATCCGTGACCTGAACGACAGATGGTCACTAGTGATGTATGCTTTGGCCTTGAGCCACACGCAATGCCCTGGCCTCGATTATCTCATTGTCTCGGAGGGTAAGACTGAACACCTGTGCGCGGTGTCCTCTACGAACCTGGGAGTGAAATATTCTCCCAGAGCCAAGTTCAGTCAAATTTCGCAATATCAAAGAAGTTGGCCAACGAGGCAAAATTTAAAATTACTTCACCACGTCGTTTTTCCGCTCCCAGCAAGTTTGACGCCTACCTAAGTCTCACCAAGTCTACAAGTACGACTGTTGGTAAAAAACGAAGTAATACAAATTGGGTACCGTCACGAAGTCAACTATCGGTCACGAAGTCAGTGAATAATCTCAATAAACTGGTATCTCGAAATACATAAAACGATGTCTCTCCCTTCTTCCTTTACTCCAAGCGCCTCCATAATGAGCTAAGTCAGATCCCTGTTAGTGTCCTAACGACAACCCGAATACCGCAATTAGATAGAACAATTCATACTGCCCAAATACGATCCATTTACCGACAACGACCTAGTACATCCTAATCCCTATAACCAAACCTCTCTCCGACCTTCTCTGACCTCAGTTGACCACCAAATACACGCCCACGCCGATATTTATACCCGACGGAGGAAGCAAAGCGTGGCGCACAAAACTGGGAGATAGTTCTTTTGGATGGACGTGAGAGGGATTAGGACAAGTTTACAAGATGATACTAAGGAAGAATATCACCTCGAAGGACGTTAAATTCCGAATTTTGGTAAGGAGTTTTACGAAATGAGCCTTGTTCACGCCAAGATTTCGCTTGCGAGAGTGCAGCTGACACTATAAACACAAGCCAACGATGGAAGGTGTTGTGATCCGCCTCCTGGTGATGTTCTCTGGTATAGTTTGAGTAGCCTGGGCACCTACTCCACTTGGGAAGGACACATCTCAGATCATATTTCGCGCCGAGAGAAGTTGAATGATGATGGAGGCATGTCTGGATAACTCGGGGTTTTTGAGACGTTCCCCTGGGTGGGTATTCACGGAGAAGGGTTGACTTGGGGTGAAGAAAAAGCTACCATAACTTCGCAGTGGTACTTGCAAATGAAATCTGAGGCATGAGTGATTCTCTTGTAAATTGAGTCATCTTTTCTGTACTTTTCTTTGATATTGTGTCAAAGCTACATAGCTGCATACGCAATTAAAATCTAATGCCAAAAAAAAAAAATACCCCCCCGCAAAAACAATAGGTCCGTGATTGTAAAAGAACGAAATTTGACAAGATACCAACTTGAATGCCTGAACGTGACTTGACGTTTCACGAATATTTGTATGGACCCATAAAGCCGAGACCGTAGCCTATACTAAGGTTGAAGTTCTTGTAGTCTGTGGTGTAGTTTATCCCAAACTTCATATGTTCATCCTATGCACTGGCTTACTGTCATCCCTCATGATATGAAGCACCATTAGGGCAATGGTCCCCCAAGGACCAGTGCCCAAGCTTTGTAGTGCAAGATGGCCAATCCTTGATGAGGCAGATTCCCGATTTTAATTGCAGTAATGCCATCATGGGTGGTTGACACGAGGTGATGCAGCAAGATTGAACTAGAGGATCCTTGTGAGAATGAAAGGTCTACAATTAGACTTGAACTTGAAAATTACAATTTGACAGAAAGGAAACCCAATAATTTCAGACGTGACACGAGCAAATGTGCCAGAAAAGCTCATTGCCTATAGTTCTGAAATTAACGAGAATTCGTCGATTTTTGATATACTGGAGGTTGCCTTCAACATTTATTGGGATTCAATTGTTCTTAGCTATCCCAGATATGCAGGGCATAGTGAGCAGGTACACTGACACCAATGGCTATGACTAAATCTTCTGCACTGGCGTTAAGAATAAAGCGGTTATGCAGGAAGATGCCTTGATGCCTGACTCTCATATGACCATCCGCTCTATATCCACGCGACTGATGCGCTTCTTTGCTCTCAATCTCACTTTCCATCATCACATTCATCGAAACGACAACTTTCAAACCAACACTTTACGAAATGTCTCACTATCCGGAAATTTTTGCTCATCTCAAAGAGAAACCAATCGAAGCTACTCTTACAACATTTCGAAACAATTACACAGAGAAGAGTGCTAAAAGGGGTAATTTTCACTGAATAAGCAAGGGAACGGAAGCTAAGATATTAGATGTTGCGACACTATTTGGGACATTAGCTGCTCATATACTAGGTATCAGTCCTAACGATGAACTGAGCAAACTGGCTGGTCAATTTTTCACCTTCTCCGCGAAGATTTCGACCGATAGGAATAATCTCATAGAACTTCAACCTCTCGTCCAAGCTATCTCACAATACCAAGATGAATCTGAAGTATTCAAAATTGCGATTGAACTTGTCGAAAAATTAGCAGATCAACCAAGTGGCAATCAACGTAGTGACCGCAGTGATCGATTAACATTGACACCCGCACCCGGTCCATTTACATTCACCCGAAGTGCTTCAGAGGCAAAAGATTTTAACAAAAATGTCACTTCTATGACCGCAGCATTAAGAAATGAACTTTATAAAAATGTAATTGTGGATCTGGACAATTTCTGGACGGAGCTTTTCCTGGGTAAAGATTGGTCCAATCAAACATGGAATATTTGGAAAAGCTATGAAGCATACGAACAAAATGAAATTAAGAACCAGGAAGAAGCTGAGACGGGGACACAAAGAGAAACCATGAACGACAAGCAGAAGGTAACCCAGGTACAAGAAGTAAGAAAAGAAGGAAGGCTACAGGATACTTGTAAAGTTAGTCGAAGTTATAAAAATAAGTTGGCCGGAAATTTAGAGACTATGATGGAGGAAGAAACACCAAAAACTTTCAGAAAAACCCGAAGTCAGACAAAAAAAGATGACGAAGAATCGGCAATTTTGGCAGAAAACGAATCGCTCGAAAGTTCGCAAAATATCTTGAATGCAAACAACAATGATATCCAGAACAAAACTAATTCGGTAGAGGCCAAATCTGGGGGAATCCAGAAAATAATCTATAAAAACAAGATTTTGACTGGAGACATGACTGTAGATGAAATGTGGGACTGGCTAAATTTTTTTCGTGAGAATTTTTTGAATCAGCTCACAGATAAATTCCACAGACCATCGGAAAAGTTTCCAAAAATCATCAAAGAAGAAGAAGGCTCCCAGTTCCGCTGCAGTTATTTTCGCTCGTCAGATAAATGCCCGATGAGGGGTACTAACAACGATTACCAGGCCGACTTCTTCACAAAGAGAATCGGGTCTTCCAATGCTCATAGTAAGGTTCATCAATGGAGTGATGTGAGAGTACTGGGTGAGTTTACGAAAAAGAAATCTTCAGGTCAAAGGAACGAAAAGTTTTATCAGCTGTCTAGACTTGCTCTCCAAGTATTTTACACACAGCCACTTCGTCATTTCGTACATGGATTTACCGCGTTCAAATCAAATTTTGAACTGTGGGTGTTTAATCGCTCGGGCGCATATAGCTCAGGCTTATTCAACATCGAAGACAATAAAGAAAAGCTAGTGAGAGCGATCTGCTCATACCTTTTGATGAGTGATCAAGAACTAGGTATTGACTCATCTATTGAAAAAGTTAATGGACGCTCTTCTGTATCCATTTATGATGAGAAACAGAAGGAGACTAGGAAGTTTGACATTAATCCTAAACCTTTTTTCATGGTGGGTACCATAGTCACTCGTGGAACTACCTGTTTCGAAACTTCGGATAAAAGCAGTGTTGTTAAATACTCGTGGGTCAGGACTCCAGGTAAATCAGAAATCGACTTTTTGCAACATGCCCATGGAATAGATGGCGTAGTCGAGTATGTCACGGCAGACATAATCTGTACCATAGGTGATCATCTGAAGGACCTCAACTTCAGCAATGCGAAATATTTGAAGATGATGGACTGCAATCCTTTTATCTGCATGGCTGAAGGTGTAGAGGTACCTCGGACTCCCCAGTTGAGAGATCGAGAACTTCGCAGAATAGTTATCTCACCTCGTGGCCATAGTCTTCGTTCCAGTAAAACGATTATGGAGTTTCTTGTTGGCATACGAGACGCAATTGTGGCACACCGCCGCCTGTATGTCGAAAAGAAAATACTTCATGGTGACATCTCTGACGGTAACATCATTCTAGCAACTGTAGGTGGTAAAACTCAAGGGATGTTGATCGATTTGGATCACGCCGAAATGGTCGACCCACCACCAGGCAAAGATGACAACTTTTTCTTGACTTGCACCATGAAATTCATGGCGCTTGAGAGGCTACAACGTGCTTCAAATCTTGGGGAAAGTATAATTCGTACGTTTCATCACGATCTGGAGTCGTTCTTTTATGTGTTCATTGTAGGATGCATAATATATGAACGTGGAGAGAAATCACAAGAAGTTATTGATTTACAAGCTTGGTCAACAGAAAACATCAAGTCTAATTACGATGCAAAGGAACTAGCTATCTTGGGCTTTAGAAAAAGAATTCTCGATAACTTCTCCACCAAATTCTTAGATTTTAAGGCTTTAGCATATGAACTCCGAACGATACTTTTTGGAGAGCTTGGAGATGAATATAGCACCCCAGAAGATTATGAAGCCGAATATGAGAAGATTATTAAGTCATTCAGCAATACCATTGAAGATCTAAGAGGTAAGATCAATCAATTACTACACAATTACTACACAATTACTGTTCCCTTAAATGAGAGTCTAGCTAACATTCTCAATTATTAGATGGGACAATCGAGAATAAATTGTTGGCTAGAGGAACATCATGAAGTGTTTTACAGAACTTTCCTGACAGATAAGGATGTCAGGACTCCCCAGGCTGTCGTAAATTGGACAATCTTGTACTCGGGTGGATTCTTGAATTGATCTTTTGTTTAATTAAAATATAGGTTATTAGATATACACTAAAATAAACGAGTTACACTTTTGTTATCTTCCGGTTCACATTTGCTTGGAAGTGCAATGTGTATTGGCAGAAAATTAGGAGAGAGGCTATATTTTTTTTAAACTGAGCTTTGCTTGCCGTTCTAGAATTTATTTAACCCGAAAGATTTTGGATTAACCTCTTATGTGTTTCAAATAACATCATTCGCAATCAAGTAATTAAAAATTTACTCCTTCAACTATCTTCACAAGCCACTATCATACTGTAGGCTACCACATTGATTAGAGACTCAATGTGTAGGGCATGGACGAACTGAACAATTCATTCCATAAACTTTTAAGTCAAACTACATCAAACTCAAGGAATCAGACATGCAGCGGCACTGAAAACCTTTTGATTGTCTCATTCATTGAAGAAACTTGGTTAGGCTAATTTGGATAGCCAGGATAGAGCTTAACGAAAAAAAAGGTTCGTCAAATTGTGAGATAAAACAGTTGCTCCTTTCATTCAAATATACTTGACATGCCTTTCAACGAAGGAAAGAAGGTAGTACGGGTAATGGGTGGTACACCATTATCGTTGATCCCACTATCTTACTAGCAATGTTAGCGGCATTAACAGGTTGGCGCACCACCGCAAATATGGCCCTCCACGGCAAGGCAGGTATCTCACCAGCGGAGATGTTACTTGAACAGAAACCTTAGCGAACCGCTGTATGTGTACGGTGACCAAATAAATGGCCCCTTGTCCGTAGGGCAAACACTTGTAGTAGTAGTAGTGATTTTCGATCTGAGTTGCTTGACAGCGTCAAACATTCAACAAGTAGCCTCCCTAAGAGTATGAGATAGTGTCAAGCTAGAATGTAGTAGTACAGCATGAATTAAAGAGATAAATTGCCCCAGACTGTATAATGTTCTTGTGTGAATATTGGCATTGGTAGAGTAGCTTTGGGGAAAATTACGGAAATTAGTCACGTGATATAATCGCGGCGTTGGGTTTTACGTCGTTCATTACTCAAGATACTCAAAACGCTCCTGAACGATACCAAAAACTGGGAATTAACGCCAATACTGGGAGCTCCCCCGAACTCAAGAGCCTTAACCGCTACGATCTTGGTCGCCTTCTTGCAGCTCGCTCAGGCCATGGAGACTTCGGTGACTACCACCGCCGCTTTCAGCACTCGGACGCTCTTCCGATCTGCGCTTGCGGGCTAGAAAAGTTTCCCGAGCGCTTCTTCTTTTGTCGACTCAATCGGAGTCGGTCCCGCCTTTGCAGCGGAAATAAACACCCAACGACGGGAATTCGCTGGATTCAAGGCTCACCTGAAGGAGCCATAGCTTTTAGTAAATGGCTCCATGAAACGTGCTTTTTTGAAGCATGCAACAAGAAGACTAACTAGTACCCCAAATTATATGCACTTGGCCTATATTTTCTAGAGCTAAATTTAGAAGACTTCTGGTCTAGGTGATGGATAACTTTATTTTTCATAAATATAACTGTCTTCTCTACTGTATTAGAATACAAAAGTCTCAGCTCGAGAGTACTTTTGACTTCTTTCTATAGTTCGGGGTGCATGGCAGTTAGGCCTTGGCCCATTTATAACATGTCGGGCTTATTTAAAAGTATCAGAACGTCGGGTAGTTTATGTAGACTTAGCTGGCCATCACGAGGCCTTAAGGTTGTTTTGTCTATTTTGTCCTAAGCTAAAGCTATGTTTTCCCCATTGAGTCAAGGACAGGCGGAGCCGGCAGGGTTCCCTGACATCTTTCCTACAGCCTAACCCGTTCCAACCTCGTGAATCGCTGCCTAAAGTGCAGCTGATTTAAGAAAAACGAAAAATCAAGAAAATCAAAACAACTCCGAACAGAACAGAAGATTCCTTCACATTGGACCCAGCCAATGCGCTCCTCACACATTCCCTCGTCCGTCATACCTTCCAAATGACAAATTTACTCATTCTACGCTGAGAGCAAGAGATAAGTTAGCAGGTACCTTTTATCCAGCCGGTATCCTGCTATTGGTTAGTAGATACCCCAATGGGGACATCGTCGAGGTTGCTGTGTCCTCAAACTTCTTCTTCAGATCCCAGCACTCCGAAACCTGTAGCCTCGGCCATTGCGACATCCTTCGCCGCGGCGACGATCGCCTCATCGGCCTTTTTGGCTGCAGCCCTAGCTCGAGCCGCCTCCACGAACTTCTCTTGCTCGAGGTGGCGTATCCATGCGAGCTGCTCTTTTGTCAACGGCCCAGACTTTCTGGGTCTGACTTGGCAGTCCCATAAATCCGATCAGTGAGGTCCCCCACAGTTGCGACACTTAGTGAGGGTCTTTGTCAGGTATTTGGGAGCCTGACCTGTGATAGGCGAAGTGTATGTAATTAAAGTAAAAGATAACTCAGTAAAAACAACTTGATTTCTATTTCTCCCGGAATTCTAGGACTATATACACTGATCATGATTGACTTGATCTCTTGATCTCTAAATATAGACATGCGCTAGAAATAGAATAACCTGCAGTTCTAAATACAGAATTCAAGCACTGACCGAAACAAATAACCCACGTATGTATGGACAGTCCCTATTTTTGACCTGAGACATTTCTTTGTCCAACTTCTTCGGTGGTTATTCTTAGCCGTTGACAGTCTTGCACTCGGAAGCCGAGTGCAAGTTAGATCCGCAGTTCCAGCAGGCTGGAGCGCGGGAGCAACCATGGGTGGCGTGGAAGCCCAAACAGCGTTTGCACTGTTCAATTTGTGGACGAGGCTTGTGAATGGTAGCCATACCAGCCTCGTCGAGAATGCGGAAGCCCGGGCGAGGGGCGTTGTCCCGGGTGAAAAGGGCTTTCCAATTTCTGTACGGTGCTCCAGGACGGCATGTCCCGTGCGGTAGCACCTGGTGTGGAAGCTGATGTGTTTTTCGGTAGATCTCCAATGAGATCCACTTAGCATCAAACGTATGAATACAGTTGATTGTTTTTACGGTCGCCGGAACATTCGCGATCCGAAAGACGTCAAGGTTGGAGGCTTCCTCGAGCTTGGCGCCGAAGTCCGAAAACTTTGGTGCGGCATCTAGGAGCTCTTCCCTTTTCTTTTCATTCCCTGTCAGAATCGAAAAGCCGGTTCTAACACGGTGTATAGAGCAGGCGTCACTGGAGAAGCAATCTAGCTCACTCTGTAGTTGTTGACATAGGTCAGCAGGCGAAAACTGGCGCCACGGGTGCTTCTTTTCTAGGCGAAGGAACAATCGTTTGTCGACTTTCGCCTTGGGAGCTTCTTTCTTTGGGGCTTTGGCCGCAGGTCGCGGCACAGCCTTTACAGTTTGGACTGCTTTTTGTTGCAGTCTGTTTCTGGCCACCGTAGCCCAGGTGCTTTTTACAGGCAGCACTGGGACGGCGGGAATTCGTATGCTCCTGGCGCCGGGAGCCCTTTGGGGAGGGATTGCCGGGCGAGGAGGGAGGACGGGTGGCGTAGTGGCCGGGCCCGTTGCCATGTATTGCGCAATGGCGGCGCGTAAGTAGACTCTCATGGAGTCTACGAATTGTCTATTTGACCCGTTGGTCAAAGAGAGGAGGGTGGCTTCGACGCCAGAGATGGCCAGATTTGCCGCTGTTTCGGCGGCGCGTCGTTGTTCAGCTTCGACTATTGGTCGGAGCTCGAGGGGACACTCTGCTTTCGTGGCAGCTGTTGGCTGCGACGTTGATGTTGACGCTGCTATGGGTGCAGCGTTTTCCGACGGTTTTGACACTGTCAGAGGAGGTTTGGAAGATTCTCCAATTCCGTGGGGGATGGAGACTCCTTGAGGAATTTCCTCAACAATTCCAGCTGACCCGATCATGTCAGTATCGGGTTCAGTGACGGCGGGGAGGGCTTTTTCCTTCCCTCTGATTGAGACCTTGCTCATCTCCGCGCATTTCGGAGACTGAGCAATATCACAGGTAGGTCTCGTTGGAACGGAGTCACAAGCAGATCGGAGGTACGAGAGGACGAAGTACGGGTAAGAATATATTAATAAGATGTTGCACAATCTATCCTAGAGTGCAAGTACTTAGATACTTATACTTCATTCCTGCGCTAGTATCAATCATACAAATAAGTAAGATAGTTGTGCGTCATGTTACCTATAGGTAAGGTCATAAGCGAGAACCATAGGTACCATGACAGGCAAGGCCAGGTACTTGATCGAGAGCCCTCGAGTGGACTCTCGTGTTGTCCAACTTGGCGTTGGGACGCTTTTTATATAAGGAAATGGTTAAACTGTCCTTTGCAGCTATTGATGGTGACATGAATTAAGATGATGATTGTGATTGAGATAGATTTCTATATAGTTTATAATACATGATATGCTCAGGTTCATATACCTCGAGCCAAGCAACCAGATTATGTTCCTCTAGATCTAGATTCATCAGAATAATTACTTACTCAGTAAAATTCTCCTAGTCTCAGTTGTGTGTTTAGGATCTTGATTAGGTTTCTAGTAACTAGTCAATGATGTTTCTCATATCACTGAGACATAGTCATGGTTGATACAACAGGTACAAACGATGAGTCGTGCCTGTACATGACGTTGTGATATAGTCATGATCGTCTGAACAATATCAACTCATGAATGAATCATGTCTCTACATGACACACCCCCCCAGGACTTAGTCTTTGATTGAGTCCTGTATCTCGGGATTTGACACTAGGTTGAGGAGGTTAACAAACTTGGTGTGTTTCTGCATGCTTAAAGCTTTGGTCATGCCATCTGCAATCATGTTGTTAGTGTTTACCCACGATACCTTAACTTGATATCTTTGAACTTTCTCTCTTAACCAATGCTGATAAATGTGGATATATTTGAGTC